TACTACACGGTTATTATAGCCTTTCAAAAAAATGCAACTTCAATTGTGTTTTTTCGCTTACAAAAAGTGTATGGGGCTAAATATGTCAAACATGGCAACCATTAAAATTTGAAAACTAAACATTACATTCATTTTTAATGGTTCTTATTTTCCTTTTTTGCACATTCCTGTAAATATATAATGGTAAAAAATATATTAGCATATAGGAGAACATAATTGAGACTAACGGGCAGGGCCAAACCTATACATGAGGCCAAGAGGCCATTGCCTCAGGCCCATAAAATGGGGAAAAAATTAGGGCCCACAAATATATTAGACCTTTATATATTTCTCGGCTGATTTTGGTCTCTTGGTTATCGGCTCGTGTGAGACTATTTGCAACTTTCCAACTTAAAGCTTTGAAGACTAGGAGTCTAGATATTTGCAACTTTCCAACTTAAAGCTTTGAAGACTAGGAGTCTAGATGATATTAAGGAGTACAATTCATTCAAGATTTTTTCCATAACATAATTCCTTGCAATGTTGTCTAAAAGTGACATATGGTAGTATTTTCATTTGTTGTTTTGTTTTAAATGCTAATCTAGTTTGTAGTGCGCTACATCACATTTTAGAAATCTAAAAATTTATTATCTTTTTAAATCGTTGCTAATTGAAATTTAGAGAGTTGCTACTAATTATTTATTACTAGTATTTATTTTGAGACCATACATATAAACGATCTATTATCCATACATGTAACTTACTATCGTATAAGTTTTTGTTTAATACTATTAATGTTTTTAGCAATGCTTATGATTCTACTAAAAACATAATTATTAATATTTATTTGATTATAATAATATTGATTTTATTATTGTGTATAATAAAGTGTTTAAATTTTATTATTATATTATAGTCTTTAAGGGCCTATTTACATTGTTTGACTCAGACCAAGAAACTATTAGGATCGGCCCTGCTAACAGGGTGTCCCCAATTTGGGTGTCCTGAATTTGAATTTGTGTGGAGTACGCTAAAATCCTGGTGTCTTTTGTTGATTTGACATCAGGATATTGATTTGACAACAGGATTCCTGAATAAAATCTATACAACTCAATTAAAATCCATTAAAATCCATTAAATTTCATTCACTTTCTTGATTTGACTTGTTAATTTCGTCGTGGAGCTTTCTGACTTTCGGAGTAGATTCAAAATGGTCTTTCTCCGGTGGTAGTTCCAACCAAGTTGGCTTCTCCACCTTGTATACCTCGAAGTCAGGGAACCCCGAGAACGCACCATGCTTGAATGGGTCAAGGACAGACGTAGTAACATGCCCCGGCGAACACTCTGGCTAGACCCATTGCTTGGGGATGACAGCTACTATAAATATGTTTCACATTGTACCATTCAACAAAAAATACATATATGTATTTATACAACTATACATACATGGGAACTATGTGAAAAAATTATATGGAAATTTGTGTTTTTCACATGCAATTTTGGAAGGCCACTATACATACATGGAAAATATGTTTTTTTATCAATCATCATATAGCAATTTATAAAAAACAATACCATCATAATATCTCTCTAATTATCGGACTGATTCCTTGGAGCTTTGGAAGACCCATCTAGCTTGAATGCCTATTTTCTTGGTTTGCTTGGGAAGGGCATTATACAGCAATACTGTAATATATCAATAAATGTTTGTGTGAGTTAGTGTTCCATCTAACACTGGTTCAATAAGACATTGGCCAGAAAAATACCATTTTAACCCAAGGATTGTGTGTGTCAGCCATTGATATGGAGTATCAGACTTTCTTTATACTATGTCAGTGCACTTTTATTTGATGAATAGTGACTGAACTGGTATACGGCTGGTACGATCACACCTCCCTTAGATATTTGGAGTGGAGAGGTTTTAGGAGTCCAAAAAGTTAAAAATGGAACTTTTGGACTCCTAAATATGTGTAGTGGTGGATTGCGAGAGGTCTTAAAACAAGCAGAAAGGGAGTTGATGATCTTATTAATAGATGGTGGATTGACTCTCAAATGATGATATGTCATCTCATGTCATTAAACCTCAAATTTTTTAAAATTTTTATAACTTTTTTATTTGTATTCCAATTTTTTTAAAAAACATATCAAAATTCATGAATTTTCATGATCTTTCAGTGATACCAATATATAATATATAAAATTAAAAAAAAAATCTCATGTTTTAATAGTTGAAGTTTTTCCGAGTCCAAAAAAACATGAAACACACATTTTAATTCATGAAGCATTTACAAATAACTGAATATTTCATAATCAAACTTTACTTGAACTAAGTTCATTTTTGTTAATAAAAAAACGTCAAAAAAATTAATGAAAATTATTCATTTTTACATCGAAATGTGTATTTTTTATTTCATAATTATTTAGGGAAAATATTAAAAGTAAAACATTAGTTAAAATAATTTAATTAATGATTACTAAATTGATATGTAAAAAAAATATGTTGAGTGTATTTTATTCACGGTGCACAGATGCAGGGAAATATAGTATTTACGGAGTCTAAACATTGTTTTCATATGAACGAGGTCCAAATTTAACAATTTACACTCTTGACCACTACAAATGGTCTTACTCAAGTATACCCATTTTTTTCCGACCCATTTTCAATATGTATCTTTTGCCTTTTGGCGGAAAATTTGCCACTTTTTTTTCACTTCCTTTTGTATACAAAAAAAAAAAGATGATTATTACTACTATGATAATAATAATAATAAGTAAATGCTCCATAAAACTTACAATCATTAGTATCCTTATTTTTTTTTAATGAAAATGTTGTTTGTACCCACTGTTATACTCACTTTTATACCCATCATGTTTGTGCAAAGCTTTTTTTGTCAGCGAATCTCGTTCACTTCAAGACATATTTTGTCTGGGAACCGAATTCACAAAAAAAAATGCAGAGACATGATGAGTACAAGGTGGATATAAAAATGAGTACAACACGAATAATTGTTTTTAAATTCCATAATGAAAAGACACAATGGACATAAGTCATTGATGTAAACCCTATTTTAAGCTTATTAGCCTTATCATTACCTTTTGCAACACATAAATTTTGATTTCGAACTCTAAAATTTGTAATTGTCAAAATAAGTAAAATTAAATACTCTTTTTGATTGAATTGCCTATAGTTATTATAGATTACTATTTTAGGTATTATATATATAATACATTTTATATGCCCACAATTCAAGACGTTTAGTAAAGTAGAATTTTATCAATTTCAGCAAATTCAATTAATTTATTCAATTAATTATATTCAATTGATTAGAATGTAACCCAACGGACTCTATATGTTTGTTTATTTAAACGTTATCATAATTAAAATGCTCATTAAGTTTTTCAACATAAAAAGCACACAAACATTGAATATTACTCGTTTGTTATTGTTAATATAAGCTACATGCACTCAAGTCTCTCCTGATTCGATGACATCACCGTGACATTCCTAAGGGGATCACTATATCATACTCAGTATGATTGAAACTCATCCTAGTAAACTTTTATGACCTTTTTATTCCAATATTACTAAAAAGAATGAAAAAGATAAAAAAGTGACTTGTTTTAATTTATTCCTTATATTTAATCATATATTTATTTTTTTAATATTCCTTTTATATGTAGTACATTTGATTACTAGTAGCCACCAGCACTCCGGACCGCCAACCCCAGCACCACCACGGCCACCACTGCCGGCAGTCACTACCTCAGTGACTCTGACCGCAGTACTCCAACCATAGTGACACCCAATTTTGGCCAGTGACCCGATTCTGACAACAATGAAATCCCAATCCGATCATAGTGACACCCAATTCCGGCCACAGTGACTGTCCCACGGGCCACAGTGATTTCCCCACCGGTCACAGTGGCTGACCACTGATCACAGTGATTGCCAACCATCCACAGTGACTGCGCACCGACCACAATGACACACTAACTCTAGTCACAGTGACACGCCATCTCCGGTGTCACTGCCCCATCCCTCCCCTGCTTTTCACGGAATCACGGTCCCTGAGCTGTGTCCCCAACTTACCCCGCCGGCCCGCCCTAGCACTGCCCTGACCATCACTGGGGACCACCATAACCGACCACCGCCCCAAACCCAGTCACCTCCCCAGCCCCCAAGCCACCTCCCCTTCCCCCTCCAATCCTCCTGCCATCTCCCCAACCCCCAGCCCAACCGCCAGCTCCCCCAACCCCAGATCTAGTCCAAACCACACCCAAACGGCCAGATCTAGCCCTAGCCTCAAATAGGGCAGTGGTGGCAGAATTAACAGCAACGTGGACACTGGTGGAGGCATCTGGTTGAGACGAGAAGCGAAGGCGTCTGTCCCTGGTGGCCAGCATAGGCAAGGCGGAGGAGGCGTTCCTGGTAGAGAGAAGTTCGATGGTGAATCTGAGATGGAGAGAAGCCAGATCGTAAATGTGAGATTTTGGGTAGAAGAATAAAAGAGGAGGAGAAGATACACAACGGCGACGTCGATCGTCAATCTCTCATCCTCACTCGCCGGTGGGCGGTTCCGGTTCCGGTTCCGGGCCAAACCGAGCCGGGCCGGGCCAACCGGTCTTTTTTTTTTTTTTGGTTCTCCTTTTTAACCCCCTACCCCTCCCCCTCAACTCCAAACCACCTCAAATGGCCCAAAATACCTAATCCAACCCAAAACTTAAAAAAATTTCAAAAAAAAAAAATTAAAATCCGGCCCGGACCGGGCCCGAACCGCCCGGGCCGGTTCACCAAAATCAGGGCCCGAGCCCGGACCGCCATCCCACCGGGCCGGGTGGCCCGAACCGGTGCACCAACCGGTTGACCGGGCCGGTCCGGGCCCGCACAGTAGCGGGCCGGTCCGGTTCCGGGCCGGTTGGCCCGGCCCGAGTCCACCCCTAGCTGGGAGATGTATCGGTTGGTCTTCTTTGGCCGGAAGAGAAAGCTTCACCGTAGATCTGTTTTCATGGGTCACTTTTTGGGAAATTAGGAAAAAGGTTATATTTTGAGAATTAGAAAGTCCAATGGTAATAGTTCGGCCATTTTTTCAACTTTTATCCTTAAAAGAACACATATTATACGATAGTAATATTCAAGAAAGTACAACAAAATGAAGTTACATGCACTTCTCCCTAACATACATCATGATTCATCAACTCATAGCATCTCATGATTCAACTACCAGAGGGCGTCAGTCACCTTCATGGCTGCCACCAGACCTGCATTCGCCTCAGAAAATGTTTTAGATTTGCACTTTTAGCCCCGCTCCTATTAGGTCATCACATCACTTTTGGCTCTCAACTTCCATTTTCTTCTTGCTCTTATCGTCATACTTCCTCCGTCCTAAAATTAACTTCCCACCTTCCTTTTCGGGCAGTCCCAAAATTAACTTCACACTTCAAAATTTTCTTTATTTGGCAAATAATCTACATAAAAAAAAGTGCCAAACAGTGTCCAAACAGTGTCAAACAGTGCAAAACAGTGTACTTCACAATAAAGTCAAATTTATTTTCTTAATCTGTGTGAAGTCAAACTGTGAACTTAATTACGGGACGGAGGGAGTACATTTTTGTGACGTATGTGAGTCAGACTATTTATCCTGTCAAATTCTGTACTATTTCCAATTATTTTTCACCAAAATTGAAAAAAAAACAAGTCTTGCACTAAAAATGGGAGCAAAAAAGTTGGGGACAAAAGAGGACTATGGCCTAATACTCATTTGACCAAAAGTGCAATTTACTAATTCTAACCAATACATGGATCTGAGCCTGTCCAGAACTAAAAGATATACGCATGTCTAGTTTTTAGTATTATATAGTCATGAAATAAATCATTAATGAGCTCAAATTTACTACAATGCAATTTGTAAATTTCATATACCTCTCCTTGTTTGCCCTCTAAAACCAAGATATTCGGTAATATTTTGCTTGAACATTATGAAACATTTTTAGTTACATTAGGATAACAAGAGAAGGATGATGTCACGGGTTCAAATCTTGAGAGAATGAGAGCGGCCTTTTATTTTGAGAAAGAAAGGCCTGCCCTTGTGGTGAGATCCTTCCCCGGACCCTCTCCGTGTGGGGATGCCTTCGTGCACCCAGCTGCTCTTTTTATGGAGTCATCACAGATGACACACATTATAGTCCAGTGGATTGAAGCTTTAATAATATCACTTTTAAGGTCTAGCATGTCAGTACACTATTTTGCTACTCACTGTGTCCAATATCATGATGTTATTATACAAAAATTCTAGGGGTACAAGAAATATGAGATTGTGAAGTGACATGCTTATGTTATACACATTGATTGGCAGATTAAAAGTTAGTCATGCGATACTCCACCCGAAGAGTATGTGTCGCAGAAGAATGTTAAGTAGTACTAAATATGTACAATATCCACGTAAAGAGTAAGCTGAGCAACTTGAAGTGGCCTTACCTATATAAGAAGAAGAAATTGCCTCTAGCATCACCCCTGAGAGAAAGATCCTACTAAAGACTCATCCACTACTGAAAGTCTGGAACTACACATTGTCCTTGAATGGACCTGAATCGAGCAATAACTTTATCACAAGTCTAACCTGCCAAATACAAAAGTTTTTCAGATTTTGAACTAGTTCGGTGAGATGTAATTCAGCATAAATAAATGTATATTTGTTGATTTTGCGAGTTTGTGTCTAATTGATTAAACTGAATTGCCTATAAAAGTAATTTCGTAGTACTTTTTTTCGTAATTATATAATATCTAAAAGATGAGAGTGAAATTGTCATTCATCATCATTTTCATCATCATCATTACCCCAGTGCCGCAAGGGCTCTCACCTACGGTGGGGTAGGGGGGGCGGATGTACGCAGTCTTACTCCTGCACTAAGGCACACAGAGACTGTTTCCGAATGACCCATAGTGAAAATCACGTCAAAATTTGTCATTGCTGTTAAATAAATATTAAAGATTGGCAGAATGTGCAGTTTACAAGGACGATGAGGAAAGCAACAACAACATCATATCAAAAGATGCGCAAAACTTCATGTTTGATAGAGAAGAATCCGAACAAAAGATTTTTCTCAAAGTAATGACGTAAAATGTTGAATGATTACTAGTTGCAAAGGCCTATAGGCTTAATGAACAGTTTTATGATGTCTATTGCAAAACAAAAAACAAAATGTATTTCTTAGATAGGTTTCAGACTTGAATGAGTAATCACCTCAGCGGCTTCTCGTGCTAAGAATTCGCCAATGACATCTCTGAAATCTTCATCGAGAAGATAATGACTGCTATAAGTGGTGACTGGCAGATACCCCCTTTGGATTTTATGTTCACCCTGAGCTCCGGCCTCAACTGTTTGAAGTTTGAGTTCTATCGCCGCTTCAATTGCCTAAAGCGAGGAGAGAAGAAATCAGTTACCAGGCATTTTATATTGAAGAAATTGCAAAGTTCAAACAGACCCTTAGTGAACCCTATTTTCACGATGAGACTGTATGTGGCATTGTAGCTCCATTACAAAGGCTAACCTGCTCGTTTGATCTATTATGTACTAGTACATGTTTTAAGAATTAAAACACTAAAACAGAAAAATAATCACTGAAATAGAAAACATTCATTTATAGTTTATATTCTAGTTCTGCATATCATGTACACATTTTATGTACAGTATTTAGGTAGAGGCCTGTGGGATATTTCAAAGTCTCATGAAACATAAGAAAACTAAATGAAAACTCAAGAGCAACAAACCTGGTAATAGCAAGCTTCAAAATGCAAATTTGGAAAATAGGCTTGTGGAAGGCACCCCCACAAGCGCCCATACAATGTATCCCCACCAATAAGATTAAGAGCTCCAGCAACTAGCTCCTCTCCTTCTTCAGCAACAATAAGCAGTACTTGGTCACCCATATTCGAACCCATGGTATGAAAGAAATCTCTCGTTAAATAAGTATTACCCCACCTAACAAAAATACCGATATCATTTTTCAATGAGAATGGCAAGTAGAATATATTGTATAAATAATTGAAAAGAGTTCAAATGAATTAAACAGAACTTATTGTTTGTTGTATTCCTGTAGAACTGATAAAAAGTATCCCAATGCCTCGCCTGCCAAAATATAGGAACACTAACTGAAGAGTAATCAATATGGAAAATGCACAAGTAGAACGTATCTGTTAGGTATGACTTCAAAACGCAGGTTTCCAAATAAATAAAGATTTAGAAATCTGGGCCAGTTTGGTGCTTTTAAGATGGCAAAATATGTTTTTAACTCTATAAAAAGCGTAAAAAATTGAATATTCTCATGTCATTAATTTTTTTATTTAAAAAACACATTTGAAATCAAAATATCAAATTCGGTGCTTTGCAATCACTCTTTTGCTAAAGCTTTACCTTGATTTCATATCCCCTTAGGCGCTTCATTGTCAGATTTTGCGCAAGAATCTACAGTAAATAATTGTAGCAGGAATTAGAACATTGCATTGCTGAAGAAAGCCATTAACACGTCCTGATTCCCATCGACACATAATAGATATGATATTTTCGAAAATGAAGAGAAGTTGGGAACAGGCCTTCTTGCGCTCTTGCCGGATATTTTTTCTTTTGCTTTGCTTCATGTCCATCAAATAATCTTCAAAGCTGAAAAATTAAATTTAATGAGAGTAATGCCAAATGTGGGTTATTCAAAACTAATCACAACTACTGAATAATGCTTCCAATTATTTTCCTGAATTATTTTAACAGTTAATAGATGGTCAAATCTACACACATTTACCCATTCAGAAAAAATAAAAAATAAACTCTGCTTGAGAACATATATTTGCATGCATATGACTATGCTAACACAAATTTAAAAAATGAAATTATAAAAGAAAGTTGTGCATCTGAAAACCCCATAAATTTAATTTTTTTATGTAAACAAAGGAATCACATCAATAGATATTTTTTATTCATTGTCATTTTATGCTTTCTGTTTGTTTTAGTAAAATATGTATTATGAAAACATACAGATCTTTTTTATTTTTTGTTGGTTACTTTCAGAATTAACATGATTAGTGTAAGTATGACTACTTTTTGGAGAGAAATGAGAGACAGTATTTTTTCAAAACGAACAACAGATAAACTATGACAGTGCACGGAGTATTTTTGGGAGCTATGCTCAATAATTGGGAATATTTATAAAGTAACCTGTTGTTAGAATTAGTAAAGCAGGCCGACCATGTTTGGGATTATTCACATCAATTTTCCATTAAAAACCGTTATGTTACAGTCAAAGATTACCAGATCATATAATTGAAAATACTCTTTGGCCCAGCCACATAAATTCTACTTTATCACTTATAATCCTTTTTATGTTCAATAAATATTTTAATGTAGTCAGCTTCTAGAAATAGATTTCATCTATACCGACCATAACAAACATGTGTTGATGGAATATTATTTTGGGAAAATTACGGAAAAGGGTCATGTGTTTCCGTCTTTATCAAAGTGGTTTATGTGTTTGAATTCCGTTATCACAAGAGGGTCACGCCATTAAAAACGTCTAAAAAAGACCGTTAAAAGTAACTCCGATTTTTAAAAGTGCCTGGAAAATTAAAAGAAAAATACCAAAAGGTGCGCCTCGTCAAAATGACCTCCAAACCACCTTCGCCTTTGGATTTTTCAGATCTGTTTGAATTATTTTTTAAAAATGGTTTCGCTAATATCACTTTTCTGATGGACTTCCCGGTGACAGGGTGCCTGAAAACAAAAAAAGAAAGATGGCCTAGCGGTCATCTTATTGAGGCGCACCTTCCGGTATTTTTCTTTTAATTTTCCGGGCACTTTTGAAAACCGGAGTTACTTTTAATAGTCTTTTTCAGACGTTTTTAACGGCGTGACCCTCTTGTGATAACGGAATTCAAGCACATGAACTTCTTTGATAAAGACTGAAACAAATGACCCTATCTGAAAACAGGCCCAACCACAAGTACCTTTTCCGTATTTTTCCCTATTATTTTCAATAATTAAACTTAGCAAAAGTTGTTGTGTATGATTAAATAACATCATGCCTCAAGTCTTTAATGACAAATGTAAAAAGTATAAAACGATGAACACATTAATGATCTGAAAATAATATTTAAGACCTTGTTTGATTTGAGGGATCTGGAGGGAGGGGATGGGGAATAAGTGTTCTCTGTTTGATTGAAAAAGTTAGAAAGGGAGGATATTTCAAAATATTTTTTGTCCAATTTCCTTCTCACCTTTTATTTATAAAAATGGTGTACATTATTAATTATAGATCACTACTCCCTCCAATTCTAAATGTTCTTCCTCCTTTTTTATATCTGCCTCTATAAGTTCTTCCAATTTCAATTTTAAAAGTAAAATTTTACCCTAATTGTCCTTCTCTTTGCTACATTTATCCTTTTTCACTCTCTCGAGGCCCACGTCCCTAAAATTTGAGGCACAATGGCACAACCCCACGAGGAAAGAACAAATGGAGGCAGAGGGACTATATTATTAACTATAACAAAATTTATATCAAATATTACATATTTTTACGTATTTTTCTAAAATAAAACTTCTTCCGTCCCAAAGTATGTTTCTTGTTTGAGTTCGGCCAAATTTTTAATGGAGTGGATGAAAAATAAATGTTGTGGTTGAGGTTTGAGTAGAACAGAGTGTGATATGAACCACATATTTCTTTCATATTCTTCACCTCTTCCCCCTAAGGCCCTCACCTGTTTCGAACCAAAGGCTTGATGGGATCTGAAAATAAAATGCATTTGGCGGTGGTGTCATAGACTACTAAAGAGCAAACTTCCTCAAACCATAATACCAAATGGTATACACTGAACTACTGAAGTCATTAAGAAGTGATGGGTCTTGGAGGATGATAAAAAATTAAGAAGTGAAATTTTTAAGGTATAATACTCAGGTTTGATAAAAAAAAAATAAGTTATGAAATTTCAAAGAAGATCAATATTGAAGCCATCCCAACCACTTAAGCAAGAAAGACTAGAAACTCACTTTTTGTAGTTACGGTTTCTCCAGTGATATTGTATTCCAATCCTCTGCAAAAAATCTCTTTCCCCCAATTTGTCCCACTCATTGGAAGTGTTAAAAGTAATATGAAGAGATGATACCTTAAGCTGATAGGATAGATGTAAAAAAGTATAGCACTAAAATATACAACAATTTAAAAAAAAATAACAAACTGAAGTTGTTAATTGTTATCTCCTGGTATTTTCCATGCAATTGAATAAACCTTAATATGATGTCGGTTTTGGAATTTTTATCTCATTATCCCTTAGTATAAAGGTTGCAACATGAATGTCATCCGGCATAAACTTTGGCTATGTACTTTTAGACTTAACTTTGTTGGTCTAGCATGTTCTAGTTTGTTTGAGACTTCAAGTCTAGTCTATTTAAGGCACTGTTTTTATAGACTTATTTCAAATCGTAACCCAAACCAGAATTAATTAGACTACACTATCCGTAAACATATCAAACCCAACTTGCAACACATAACATTACAATTAAACCTAGAAATGACCATCCTTAATGAGACCAGACAATCAAACTTTGGTCCAAAATGACATGCCCAAAACTTTACTCCCTCTGTCTTAAAACGTAAGATACTTAAAAGGATAATGTTGTTATCTTACAATTCTAAGGTCCAAAAAGCAAGAACAAGTATGATGGGTCCACCAAAAGTAAAAAAGGTGAAATGAAAGATAAAAGGATAAAGTTGGAAATTAAAAGGTTAATGGAATTTAATTTTGGAAATTATTCATATTTTTTGGACAGCTAAAAAATATCAAATATTGCTTTCGGGTAGAAGATTGAAATGAGTTTAAGAAAAGAGTTGACCTTTGTCACTGTATTTTTATTATTTATTTTGTCACTTAACTGCAGACAATTGATTAAAAGTTTGAATTTTATCACTAACTCAAATATAGCTGGACTAATGAGGTGGCGACGGGGCATTTCCAGATGCATTAAGGTAAATAGCGTTTGAAAATCAAATTGGTTAGAATGATTGGTTCCCAGATAAATAATATGAAAAGAAAGAAATGTTATGGAAAGTTATTTTCTTGCATTTGGTTTTACTTCAAAAAATGCAAAAAATGATAATGACTTTTTTTTTAAATTACAAATATTTAGTTTTCTTAGGATTTACATGATAAAAATAAATAGAAAATATAACTACAATAATATAACCTATTGGATATGGACTAAAACAATCTAACTATAGATATTACAAAATGATAGCCCAGCCATTCCTATGTATACCTAAATCAATACAAGCATATTTTCAGGCAAGATATCTAGCTAAAAGTGCTCATCAGCTCATCATCGCAAGTGTGGCAGATCTCAAAGTTTTCATTATTTTGGTCTATGGCCAATAGCTGCTTATGACGGATTATTATTTTTGGTATTATTTAAAATCATTTTCCCGAAATAAATAGATATGAAATTTATTTACAAATTTTTTAAGATAGATTTATTGACTTCACACTTTAACCTGATGTTTTATCCCCCCCCCACTTTATTTTCTTCGTAATATCCGCTTTACTTTCTGATCTAGTTTCTTTCCCAAGCATTTCCCAAGTTCCAAACAGACCCCTAAAGTTATAAATTGAGTGACAGTTATTCTAAGGACTTGGTAAAACTGTCATAAAGGTAGTTTTTCCAAAATGGGATGAAGTTATGAACACGACAAGATAATACCCTTATCGCCAAATCCTTCATTGCAGAAACTAGTATGTCAAACACTTCCTCTCGGTATGATGTGTTTCGGACTAAAATTCGTGGGCCAGTAACCGGAGTGAAAGGTATAGAGCATTGCAATTTAGGATAATAGCTCAAACCATAACTGTAATAGGCATTGGCCCAAGAATTGTCAAACACATATTCACCGTATGAATGGCTGCAGATAAGGATCAAAGTATTAGCAAAATGACATATCAGTACAGCTTTCCTTTGATTCAGAAACTTAACAGTGTTTAGTAAATAGCATAGATTAATGTCAAACCTTTTCAGATATAGAGGAATAGCACCTAAAACATTTTTTGATTCGTCACGAGCAATGATGTGTTGTGGTATCCATCCTGTCTCCTATAAATGAATATAAGATAAGATCGGGGACGTATACTCTTATACCTATTTCAGTCCCAAGCCAGATCCAACTTAAATAGATCAAATCAGACCACACATGCATCACATAATATTAGACATCCTCAGTAATATTCTCACAAGTCAAAACTCACAACTAAAATCTGTCTAGACTAAACCTGACCACAGCACCACTATTACATCTAAACCAAAACACACCAACAAAATCCTATCCAACAGAACATGTCCTGAGAGAAAAATGTTAGAAAACTGATTGACATATTACTTCCTATGATCTGAGGAAACCAGTGTTTAAACTACATGGAATCGGGTTTGCTGGATCTTAAGAGGTTGACCCTGCTAGTGTTGTTTGATGTTTCATTCTCACTTTGACCCACCACTTTCTTGTATTTTCTTCTTTCCGGTAACATATTGGACAAAAATGAACCGGAAATTGATAATGCATGTAATGATAAAGGTCACCCATCCAACATGCATGAAAATCATAAATATACGTCATTGAAGTGATAGATGAGGACCTTTACTGCACTGCCAGATTCCTCTAAGCTTGAAAGAAAAGCATGGGAAAGAAAGGGGTTGAACTGTTGAGGACCAGTAGCATCAAGATTGCATGCATTCCACTGTTCTGATGAAACTTCTGAGATAGAGGAAACCACAGAAACCGTTATCTTCTTCTCCAAACTGCCCATGTCTCCCTAACATTAATTTTAACAAATTATCCATTGAAAGGACAATTCATAAAACCAAAATGTGGTCTTCTGGACCAATATAAGAAAGAACCTTTGAACCTCTCCCTGACAAAGAGAACTCTCCCAATATGAGATCACCATTGACAATAGGCTGAGCAGTTTTCCGTGAACTCGAAAACTGTGCATGTATGTTGAACTTACATACTAAATTGCGGACAAGTCGCTCAGAAGGGGATTTCCCCTGTATTAGGAAAATAAATTGTGAATTTACAATGGTATTATCTAAATGCTGCATAAATCACATAACAGGTAGCACTTGGTAGAGAGAACATCTACGAAGGCGGATAAGTAGCCTTTGACTTACTTACTTGCTAGGAATATATTTTCTCTTCCTTTCAGCAAATATTCAGCCAGTCAGCAAATGGGGCTATAACAACTGAATGGTTTGATGCACGGCCAGTTCTGGGGGGGGGGGGGCAAGGGGACTCATGCCCCGGACCATGTGTTGTATGGGCCCCATATTTTTATACACTATATTTTTAATATTATATACTCCGTAAATAAATATATTATACGAAGTATGCACTGATATAAAACACTTGTAACTTGTTGGCCACCCAAATGACAAGGGCACAAGCTGCACGGCTTTATTCAGCTATTGTTTCATGACTTCCGTTTTTCGCCAGTTCACCTCCTCTCTTGACTTAAATTTCAACATCTCTTCCTCATTTAATTGCCTCGGATATATCACCTCGAAAATCAGAAGAAACTATAGCTCTCACTTCCAATTTAACTGGTCCAATTCATCAGAATCACCAACTACCAGTACTCCTACTCTACTCTATCTTCAGTCTTCTCTCAATCTCTCTTCAATAATTCAATCTCTCTTCAACTACCTATGCTCTGTCGCCAACTAACTGTCTACATTTGCTATCGAGGGTAACTATTTAACCATCAGTTTTTATACTTCCATTGAATGGTAAAACTTCATAGAATTATTATCCAAATAGTCCTCTACAGAGAAATTTGCCAGGCTGAGTATAAACCTTACATTGGGAGGAAAAGGCTCCCTAAAGCAGCCTTTTATTGTTAGAAAAAAAATACATTTAGTGATGAGACTATGTACAAAGATTAAAATACCATAGGTAGTCTCATGTCAATTTGCTATGGATTAACTATTATTGGAATTTGGAGTTCAAGTCTAGACATACATGTAGTCATGTACTACTTTTAACTTCTTAAGCATAAAATATACTACGTATTTCATCCCTACTCTTGCTCGACACTGCCAAATCTCTCATGCAAAACACTTCATTATGTAGTAAATTAGTTGGCTATTACTTCTTATATGTGAATATTTAATTGTAATAAACTTATATTTAATGTGCATATCGAGTAAAGGTTGTATTTTTTTGTTAGGGTATACAAAACATTGAGATATTGTTGATTTCAACTTTTTTATGTCTTTATGTATTGAACACTATTCTTTTACTGTGTCTCTCTAAAATGTCAGGACAGGGCGTGGTTTGATTAGCAAGTAGCAACCCAAAGACAATATCCCGTCAGCATCGCGAGAAAAACTATTCATACTGTTCAATTTTCTATTTGTATTTTCGATTAAACTCAGCGTATAGATTGATAGCAGAAAGTTCGACGATATTATCTTATTCACCAGATTTCTAAACTATAAGCAAGAAAGTATAAATTAACTTAAACCGGTTGATGTCAGAAGTAAATTTCAAGCAGTGATAGATAACTAAACTTAAAAGGTGAATTACAACTCAGAAATTATAAATAAATAAAAAGTGTGCGAGAGTGTGGATTACACATTATAGGAGAAGATTACCTCCTGGAGTGGCTTGTAACCGAGAAAGACAGAAGTAGCCGCCGCTGCCGCCATTGAAACACACTGCGGAAGTCTGCGAGGCTTTACTTGCACTCCATCACTGAAGTAGGGGCTGTTTACCAACTATGCCCGTCGGTTGAACAACAGGTAGCTCTGTTACCGGTTCATATGCAGGGGCAGGGGCAGCTGCCCCACTCGGTTTACCGAAAATCGTTAACCAAAATTTTGGTTAACCATTAATCGGTCCATAACCGAAAAAGCTACCAAATTATATTAGTAAACTCATCTCCAAAACTAGTCTTCTTAATCGGGACAGAAACCATCGAACAACTGCATCCCATCCCAGAACGCCTTGATGATGAGCACCGCCTTTAGAGCAATTATTAATTTCATATTTTCAAAAAAAGGGGAATAACTTAGTGTGGCAATAAGGATGTTTTTACTTGGACTGTAATTCGTCCCAGACCAGATCAGACCAGACCAGCAAATTACAGTCGAATAAAAACATCCTAAACTAACAAGAAATTAGAGGATGAAATTAATTCTACAAACTTCTTCACATTTTTGAAGGAAAGTTAGCTAACGTAGGACCAACCGTGATTTGACTGGGACCTAGGAGAAAGTTACAAACACAGTTGGCTTGTTGATTTGATGATTTCAGAACATTTGAAATACTGAACGAATTTTGTTCGGTTACCGGTTAACCAAAAGTTGTAACCGAAATTGAACCATGAACCGTTATTCAATTCGGTAGGTTAACCGTACCACAAGCCTTTTAAATATCTGATACGGTTAACCATAAAAATTAACAGTTTTGTGGTTTTATTTCATGGTTAACGGTTAACGGTTTTTTGTGTCCACCCCTACTAGCGAGTACGCCGGCTTTGTCATGTTCGGTTTTTAAATTAAGTTATAGTGTATACTTCTTCCGTTCCTTATTAATTGCAGCGGTCAACGACTCAACATTTCACGCTTGCCAACGCACTAGTTTGATCATTATTATCTTTCATTCCTTATTAGTAAAAAAATTAAAAATAATCAGATTTTGAAATTTTAAAATGAGAAGAATTTAAAAAAAAATTAAAAATTTAATTTATAATACAATACTAAATGAAATATAGTCAAAGTAGAATGTGAATAGTGCAAAAAGTCCAATGTTGCAATTAAAATAGAACGGAGGTAGTATAAGACAACAATATATATATATATATATATATATATATATATATATACAAATAAAATTTGATATATATAATGGGGTAAGGTGGGGGTTGAGTGTAGGGGTGGGCACAAAAAACCGTTAACCGTTAACCATGAAATAAAACCACAAAACTGTTAATTTTTATGGTTAACAGTATCGGATATTTAAAAGGTGGTACGGTTAACCTACCGAATTGAATAATGGTTCATGGTTCAATTACGGTTACAACTCTTGGTTAACCGGTAACCGAAAAAATTCGTTCAGTGTTTCAAATGTTCTGAAATCATCAAATCAACAAGCCAACTGTGTTTGTAACTTTCTCCTAGGTCCCAGCAAATCATGGTTGGTCCTACGTTAGCTAACTTTCCTTCAAAAATGTGAAGAAGTTTGTAGAATTAATTTCATCCTCTAATTTCTTGTTAGTTTAGGATGTTTTTATTCGACTGTAATTTGCTAATCTGGTCTTGTCTGGTCTGGGAAGAATTACAATCCAAGTAAAAATATCCTTATTGCCACACTAAGTTATTCCCCTTTTTCTGAAAATATGAAATTAATAATTGCTCTAAAGGCGGTGCTCATCATCAAGGCGTTCTGGGATGGGATGCAGTTGTTCGATGGTTTCTATCCCGATTAAAAAGACTAGTTCAGGAGATGAGTTTACTAATATAATTTGGTAGCTTTTTCATTTATGGTTAACCGATTAATGGTTAACCAAAATTTTGGTTAACCGATATTCGGTTAACCGATGGTGTGGTATGGATAATTGTATTGAATATGTACTAACCAGAATCTCGGTTAACCGATTTTCAGTTAACCAAATTGCGGTTAACCATGTATGCCCACCCCTATTGGCTAACTGGTTGCGGTGCTTGATAGTCTATCTTTGATCATGAGTTCGAATCCCTTCTTCTCCAAATCTCTCAGTTTTATTTTTTTTGCCCTTTTACAATTTACAACTCTTTAAAATTTGTCCAAATTTAAGATTTCATTTATTTTTTAATGTAACTAATAAATGTAGTATTCACTATGCAATTTTAATAACTTCTTTTCACACTTAATATTAAAACTTGTTTAATTGTAACTTAAAGCACTTATAATTACCTAATGGGAAGAGATGCAAATAGGCCCATGTACTAACCAAAAAAGTTCAAATAAGCCTTTATTTAGGAGACTCTGTCCGGCCCGTCGCCATTTGGGGTGATTCCCGTTGGAATTTTTTGATGAAATTTTTTGACATCTTATTCATCAAGTCTAGTTTACTCATACAAAATTTCAGCTAAAACTTCAATCGGGAAGGCATTCAAATTAATTCTTGAAAATAACTGCGCAGTTACCTTCAAGAATTCATTTGAATGCCTTCCCGATTGAAGTTTTAGCTGAAATTTGGTATGAGTAACTAGACTTGATGAATAAGATGCTCAAAAAAATTCATCAACAAATTCCACCGGGAACCACCTTAAATGACGACGGCCGGACAGAGTCTCCTAAATAAGGGCTTATTTGACTTTTTTTGGTTAGTACATGAGCCTATTTGCACCTTTTCCCTTACATAATTTATCCAATTCTTTTATATATTTGGTTTTGTACTTAATAAACAAATAAGTTTAAAATAATTTAGAATTTTTTTATTTCAATCACATCTTTTCGCACTTAGCATTAAAACACACGTGCTTATTTGTAACTTAATGAGTTATGAACTTATAATTAAATATATCATCTGTTTCTAATAAAAAAAATATTTTTTTTTACTAAATTCTAGATTTTTTAATTAATATTTCTTTCCTAAATATTGTGTGATAACTTTAGTGTAAATTTGCCCCCACTGACCGAATTTTCTGGATACACCACTGTATGCAAGTACCTACTATATTCAAGGCCTAGCTGTAAAGCTGGAAAGAGCCAATCACTTTTTTTTGCACACTTGCGTAATTGTTTGGGTATACACTAGTTTCAAATCGAATTTCATGGGTACACAGACAATTACAGAATGTATACAAAAAAATGTTCAAATGTCTCGTGAAATGAATTAGGTGAACTAAATGACCGATTGAACGTAGAATTATGGGGTTTTCCTTAAATATTATTACATTCGTCCCGTAAAGAAGTTTACGATGATTGACTGAAGATAAAGCAACTTGATCTCTCTGTTCACACCTGGATCATTTTTAGTAAATAAAATTTACATATTCAGAAACTGCATTAAAACCGCTACAAAATCTGATCAAGAAAATTTAAATTTGATAAAAATTTGATATATAAATCAACAGATTATGAGTGATTTAAGTGACCAATGAATAGTGAACATGAACTTCATTTCGGGATGGAGGTAGTATTCATAAAAATGTCATTGACAAAAGTATCACTTGTTGATAACTATTACGGAGTAGTTATTACAATTGTGTTCAAATTTACATTATGCTCCGTAGTAACTAAATGTAACTAAATGTAAACTTTGAACCAATTAAAGTCACAAATAGTTACTAAGTCACATTTTTGTTTCACTTTATAAAAAGTAATATCTGTGAAATATTTTAGTTGAATTAGCATAAAATTACGTAGTATTGGTTTATTTGTATGAACCATATAAGTGTGAAATTCGCTAGGAAAATGTTTTTGCTTGATTAGTTGAGAGTTTTGTCATTTTCGCTCTCTCGTTATTGTGGACATTGAAAATAAATTAGGAATTATTTAACATAACATGCATACTGCATACATGTTTTTCTTGAGTACTTTAGAATTAAGAGATGTAAGAATGTGATGATGCTTAAAATTTCATTCCACCCTTTCTATTACACTATACCTAACTAATACAGTAATACATAAAAAATCACCAAACCCTAACATTTACATCTAAAATCACTTGCACTTCAAACGTCATCAATTTTTTCTGAATAATACTTCCTCTACAATGGATAAAAGACCACTTCTCAAAATCGCAAGAGTACACAAACACACTCATTACTATGTTGATCATCGTACGAAATTGTGTAATGAAACGAGACTTGTATGAATAAAAAAACTAGAGGATCACGTCATAGAAGAGAAACATCTCGCTAGTGTTAGTGCAGGTTAAAGAGCTCTAATTTGAAGGTTTTCATTAATACCTTTCGATGTGATGACTTCATATGTTATGATAGTCATGATTCCATGTTGATTTGTTAATGAGGAAATCAATTTTCAAATATAATGGACAACTTTATATTACTGTGTCACAAGTGACCAATAGGAATAAAGTTAAGATGGATATTGATTTCAAACGAAGAAGCAACAAAGCTTGAAAAGTTGTATGAAGAGGTTTTTCAAAATCTCTGATAGATTATGTAACCTTTAGCCAATGAAATATAATTGTAGTTCAAATGTAATATGTAACAAGTTGTTTCATATATAACTTTTTAAGGTTCAAACTTCAAATATACTAGTAATCGTTTAGTATACATAGTATAATTTTGGTTTTATGACCATTATTGAAATTGCATTCAATATATAATACGTAGTATATTTTCGAGTACTTAATTTCTTGGTCAATATATATTTCAGAATAATCACAATATGTGCAATTGCTCAAAGCATGAATTAAGGGAAAGAAAATTGGAAACTTCGTGCTCGCCATTCTTTTTAATCAAACATGCCCCAAGGCTTAAATGAATAATTAGAATGTTTTTACTCGGGGTGTAATATGTCCCAGACTAAACCAGATCAGATCAAATCAATTCAGATCAAACCAGACCACACTTGGGTAGTTATAAAAATACAAAGAAACCAGACATTACTAGATCAGTTCAGACCAGACCAGATCAGACTAGCAAATTAAAGTCCAAGTAAAAACATCTTTATGCTTCATATATAATTGTATATGTCATTTTACATGTTAGAGTACATTTTTCAGTGACACACATACATTGTTTTGGGTATGAAAAAAGATTTCCTCCCAAACATGAAAAAATTGCTTGTGTGTGGATAATTTGACCAGCTTAAAATGCCATTTAAAATTGAAATTTGGCATTGCACAACATTTTCCATTAATGAATCATCAGTTCATTACCATATCCATCAACACTCTCTATCAGTTGACTTATCCATTATACTCCGTATAAATAAGGGGGTGTTTGGAACTGATTCTGCTTCTGCTTCTTTTTTAAAAGCAGAATCAGAATCAGAATCAGTTTTCAGAAGCTGGTACCCCCCAGCTTCTAAAAAAACTGATTCTGAGAGTAAATTAGAGCTCCAGAAGTGCTTCTGGAATTTTACCCAAACACTCCAGCTTCTGCTTCTGCTCCCTGAAGGAGCAGAATCGGTTTTGAGAATCAGATCCAAACACCCCCTAATAATCGGTCCCCGTCGCTCTCTCTTTCTCACGCTGAAGAGTGAAGATCACGATGACTTCTGCTGCTGCTCCGTCCTCTTCCGCCAGAGCCTTGAGAATCGGTATAGTTGGATTCGGCACCTTCGGACAGTTCCTATCAAAAACCATGATCAAACAAGGCCATTTATTAAGCGCCACTTCGAGATCAGATTCTTCCCAAGTTTGCAGAGAACTTGGCGTTCCATTTTACAGGTAGATAATACCTGCACAGTGAAAGCAAGTCACGAAGCACTTTTCGACTAAACAGCATGATTGATTACGATATACGAGTATTAATTATAGTAGAAAGGAAATAGCTCTGTACTTGTATTTGATTAGAGACAATTTATTTCTTTGTATTAAACTACAGGTAGTTTTCTTAATTTCATTTCTTTCTAAACATCTGAAAGCAAACTAATAACTTTATGATGTGAAACTGTCAAAATATTCTATCCCCTCCCAAATCCATAAACTAAACAACTAAAACAAGGGTGGCATATTTCATTTTCTGGTTGTGTTTGTTTATAGGGATATGGGAACGTTTCTTGAACTAGACAATGAAGTGGTATTGATATGCACTTCAATTCTGTCTCTATCAGAAGTAATCAAGTCAATGCCACTCAATTCTCTGCAACGGCCCACTCTCTTTGTGGATGTCCTCTCAGTCAAAGAATACCCCAGAGACGTTCTTCTGCGGGTATAGAGTTTTTGCCATTTTCATCCTCTGTTTAAGTGTTAATGTTGGTTTGTATTGCCCTGAATTAAGCATTGATACCATAATCCTGTATTTTTGTGCTGAAAAGTGTCAGGCATAAGTTAATTAAGCATAAAAAACATATTAAAACTTTGGGTTTCTAAAAAACATAAGAATTTGGGTTTAAGTATGAATGAGATCTCAATTTTGCTATATAGAGATCTGGTTTCTGTTTTAAAACTTTAAATGTGATACTCTGTCCATCCTAAAATATTCTCCTCTTTCCTTTTTAGCAAAGAATTTGTGGTTCAAAGTCTTCTTACACATTTATTTCTTTTCTGCCCAACTCTCTACCACACAATTTCAACTTTCTTTATCCACGTCCAAAACTCTATTTGGAAAATAAATTATACACGTCAGCTTATGCACATAAGATGTCAGAAGTGACTGATTTGCCACCCATACTAATGTAACATGATAAAACGAATCAAGTTAAGATAATGCCCATAAATTGAATCTTCTTTGAAAGTTAAATGAAAATCTAGATACCCCTCCCTTATCATCTACACATAGCCAAATCTGTGTGATCATCTTTAACACAATTACTTATATATCCCATGGAACGGAAGGCGCTTCCTGCAGAGTCAGACTTGCTATGTACACACCCAATGTTTGGACCACAGAGTGGGAAATATGGTTGGAAAGATCTGCCCTTTATGTACGATAGAGTCCGTATAAGAGATGAAGCGCTATGTTCCAGTTTCTTACATATCTTTTCTAGTGAGGTAAGAAAAACCACCTTGTCAGTTTGTCTTAGAAAGTAGAATTGCAAAGTGTCGATCTAATGCATCAATGGTGGGTCCGGACAGGGTTGCAGAATGCTGCAAATGGGCTGTGAAGAGCACGACAAATTGGCTGCTCGCACCCAATTTATAACTCACACTATTGGGAGGTAACAGGAAAGTGAGATTGTTAGAAACGGGGCAAATTAACCCAAGTTGTAAAATGCTCGTAATCTCGTATATATTATTAGCATTGTGGTAAAAATACTTGCATACCCCTATTGAAGTGGCTTTGATATCCAAACACACCTTTCCTTGAGTGTATGGATATTCATTTGAGAGAAAACAAATTACTGAAAACAGGAGTAGAACATGGATCATGTGCAGAAATAGGAGTTTCCTTGTTTTATGCTAATAGTATGATTGTTCAATTTAAAAAACTCTGAGGGTAGTTAAAATGCTTATGTTTGGAGAAATGAATTTCGCTTTATGAAAACAAACAAATGATGAAATGAGGGTCATGTTTGAAGACATTTGTTACGTAGTACTACATTTTACTCATATTTGTGGAATTTCTCCCAACTGGGAAATGGTCACTCAAGTGGGTCCAGATTCACATATACTTCGAACCACACTAAAAGATTGGATTCGATCGATTAGCTTCTAGTTTTATCGAATGATGCTTTATCAATACATAATCCCTTTCTTTAATGAAATAATTCTATAAATATTAGTTTTTAAAATGCTATCTAGAATTCTTAGCATTTCGATATCTAAAATGTTTAAAGAAGTAATACCCCTTTGGACCTGCTTAACCTTAACTAACCATTCTAAGGCACCAGGGATCATAAACAACTTTTACAACATATTGGCAAGAAGAGGTATAACGTATAAGAGATACTAGAATGGTTCGTAAAATGTCTTCCTTCAAAGCAGGATCCTATCAGAAATGGATGTTGAGACAACACCCCTGGACACTAAGGGATTCGAGAAGCTTGTTGAAGTGGTAGGCACAATATCCTTTCAAATAAACTTTGTGTTTTTTTAATCCACACACTATATTAATTCTGAGATGAACTACTTGTAGAAGGAGAGCACTGTTAAAAACAGTTTTGATCTGTTTAGCGGGCTATTCATTCATAATAGGTTTGCAAGGTTGCAGGTAAATAACAGTATCCAGGTTTGAATTGTCTGTGATATATGTCTGTGTGTGTGAAAATGCCATTCACTTCTGCAACACTGAAATGAACGACCATATGCAGATGCAGAGTTTAGAGGAAGCTCTTGAGAAGACTAAACAGAAGCTGCAAGAGAGACTGGTGGAGCACACAAGGTCACAAGGTACTGAAAGTTGATTGTTCTCTGTTGTATAACTGAAATAACACCACAAAGAGATCAGGAGACTATGTATTTACGTATTATCTCATTATTATCTCATAGGTTGTGAAAACTGAAAACAATGACAATGCATAAAATGCTGTGTATATATGCTTTTACGAATGATACCATAGTGCTAAATCCATTTTGTACAGCATTGATCTATAATTCCTATAAACATACTTTTACATTTGAGATCTCTTATTCTATTATAACATCTTTTCTTCAATAGTTTTTACTACGGAGTGATTTTTTAAGAACTGTTTTAAAGTAGTCGCTTTTGAAAATCAAGAAAAGTGTTGGTTATATTTTAAAGACTGGTTCTTGTTCTTAATATGTTACATTATGATATATTGCTAAATACGCTGTATACTCTTTAATTTGGGTAATCAGGATAGAAGTGGTCAAGTCGTTGAATATCATGAATATTGTTGAAGTTGTGGATGGAATGACAGAATTTCTAAAATATTTTCAATTAATTAGCTGAAAGAAAAAGAACTAAAGAATGGATATGTAAAAAATAACTGATACTAAAACAGGCACTACAACTAAAAACTATACAAGTCCTATATGTATTAGCTCCCTGTACAAAATGACAAAGGCACCAAATAACACTAAACCCTATCACATCTATCTCTTTGATGATCCCATCTGGGATATTCACCGGCGGCAGAAGAGGGTGCTGCCCCACTATGCCTCGATGAAGTGTTATCATACACACCAAAATCGTGGCTGTGAACCACCGGCTTCGTAGCTCTACTAACCAACTTCCCTCCTATTCTCTGTTGTTGCACCACCAGCAGTGATGCAGTGCTACTGAAATCTGATGATGCCAAAAAGTCCCCGACCGCCCCGAGCTCTGGGCATTCCATCCATGCCCCAATCCCCTCTAACAGTGGAGAATCCTGGTGGGACCTCCCCACCAACAACAAATCAAAGACATCCTCCATGCTCCTAAGCGAAGCCACGAATCCTTCCCCATCCCTGACCACATGTTCGTGGTACTTAAAGTGCTGGTTCCCAATGTTAGCATAACGAGCAGCTTCTATAATGTCGTTGTCAAATCTTCTCTCCCGGGCATTATCATTCCTGTTTAGAACATTCATATATGAAGTTTTTATAGATTTATGGATTCATGAGTTAATCCAACATAATTAGGAATTTGATCCATACCCGAATAAGAGAAACCGGAGAACGGTCAGATTCACATTATTGTGCCTGGCCATTCGTGCACCATAGCATAACGCCTCTGCATCATCAGTGCCGCCAATGTAGATCATTGCCACATTGTACATGGATTGGTTGTTTATAATGGTCAAGGAACCGGTTAAAATTCCTCTATCCACCAGGATTGCAACAGTGCAAGGGGCCTTTTCCATGACCTTGCAGTTCATATGTTGCACAGCCCTGTTTACTGTTCCGATAGACCCGTCTATTGCCCAACGCTTATGAAACGGGAGGATCAAAACTGTGGCATTTTGGTCAACTGCCAGCCTACAAATATCATCATGCATGATATCCGGATGTGACACGGCCGTGTAGGGCTGGACGGTCACGTTGGACTCGTTGCTAAACTCGTACTGTCTCAGGGCATTAATGATCTGTGTGGAGGAGGAAGTGTCCACATGGAGATTCCGGTGGGATGATTGGTGGGCGATGAGGATCGGAGCTGCCTGTCCTACGAGTTCAACGAGGATGAGAGCTATGACGGCAATCGGACTCTCATGGGACGCATTAGAAGCTTCTAGGATGTTCACGATGGAAGGAACAATTTCTTGATCTTGGATGGCTACTAGTATCCTTAGCTCCATGTCCCTTTTGAGGTGTTGTATTGTTCTCCTCTTGAAAGGAGTTCTCTGGCTCACAGATTTCAGCAACAACCATATCAACGGTGTTTGCACCACCATGACTCCCACCACACAGACCGCCACGGCTACGGCGAATTCCTCATCGTTGAGAACCTGCTCAGTTCAAATATAACGGTTTCAGATTCATTAATGGAATTGCTTTTAAAAGTAATGAGAAAAATTACTCATGTAATGGGCTGAAACCTACTCTTTTCGCCCTAACATATTTCTTACTACGTACTCCGTATCTTTTATGGAGTAATTGCTCTATACAAGAAAAAATAATGCAATCAATTTATAGTTTTAAACTTTGTTGGCAATTATCATCTGTCATAGTTCTTGTACTACAAGGTAAAACGTGACTCTACTTGTCCTGTTTAAATATAATGAACCATATTTGATTAATTCTGGTAAAAAACATTCAATTTGATCAATAACATATTTCATCTATTCAATATTTATGCAAAGTGAAAGTTATAGGAAATTATTTTTTTGTAAGAATGTTCTAAATGTGGGTTATCTAATGGGACATTGTGAGTTGTCAATGTCCATTGAAAACCCAGTCCACTTTTTTGAGACAAAATTTTCCATTTCTGTAGGACAAAAAGAGAAAAATATTTACTAAAGTATGTCCATTGTAGTTCTTTTCTAAATAAAATTGCAGACACTTGCACTTCTTGAAAGTAAAAAAAGTAGTGTTTTTCCTTAAGGTTAAGTAATTTCAAGTGACATAATAATATCAAAATTGTGACTTGTTATGTTATAACTTCTAACAATGACAATTATATGGAGTAATATTTTGGTGGTGAGTCAAGGGGTCACACGCTTACACTAACCTTTCGAAGGTGAACGATTTTGAAGTCCTATATTACAGAAATGTGTATTTTGAGTGATTATGTGTAGAATATAATTTACTCAACTTTTAAGCTCACCTTAATGTCCTTCCAGAGGTTGAATAGGATAAGCTCAGTCGGTCCTTTTGCGTTTAGCATAAGGCCAATGATAACCGAATCTGTAATGTTTATAGCCATGAACCTACCCATGACCATCACTATAACAACCTTACATAAGGCTGCGAAAGCCACCACAATAGATACAACCAACAAGGTCCTAGGCTGGATAAAGAAAATGTTCGTTTTCAGTCCGCTGGCAGCTAGAAACGTCGGGTAGGAGAACATTGCAATGGGATACTCCAACCTCTTTATTATGGTTGCACCCAGGGGTGGACCCGGAGGGATGACTATGCCTGCCGACAATGCTCCGACAGCGAAATGCTGACCGATAGCCTCAGTGAACAACCCGCACACTAGGAAAAATATGAAAAAACACATCACACAAGACTCCCCTACTGGCTTCCCTTGTGGAAGGCGGATCAGAAGCCTTACAATTATAGGGCGAATCGCAAAGACCAAGACAAAGATAAAAGAGAGTACACACAAGAGTCCCCCGATGGAGTTCAAAAATGGGTGGCCGACCCGGTTCTGTAAAAGTGGTTGGAAGGAGTAGTTCAGTATGGCCAATGTCATCCCAAGAACCTCAGAAAACAGGGACACAGATATGGCAATCCGACCCGGATCCGTGTTGATGATTTTGCGGTCTTTGAGGAAAGGGCAGACACTGGGAAATGCGGACGTGCATTGGGACGCTGCTATGAAGGGGAGGGTGATTTTTAGGCTGGGATCCATTTGGACAAAACGAGTCAACAATATGGATAGGGGGATCATGAATGAACAAGAACCCACTATCACAAGAATGCCTAAGGCTGCAGCGGTTCGGGTCGGTCTGAACATCCGTTTGGTCTCCATCTCCACCCCAACTCCGAAGAGGAAGATCACAACTCCGAATCCGGCGATCGTCTCAAATATCATGAGGCTCCTCCTTGGGAAAAACGTTTGCTGGAAGAACTCAAATTGTCCCAAGATTGATGGACCCAAAAGTATGCCACTCTGCATCGCAAATTCATCCATAAAAGAAGTTCAAATCAAAGGTTGCTAGTTATTATAATACAAGAGAAAATGTTACACATTTATTCAAATGCCATCATCATTAAAATATGACGCATTCAATAACATTTGCCAAAACAAAAATGACCAATTAAAATCAATTTATGGGATTTCTTGTTAGTCTTCAAGTAATGAGGGATAATTTTCGACGCGTAAACTTCCAGATGCAGAAATATATTTCATCTTACCCCTTTGCAAATTGCAATCAATGATCCAATAAAAACTCAAATAGCCATGATTTCAGAATTTCTGTAAATCGGTCTTCTGCATCGATCACCAATCAAAATATAAAGACTCTCGACTTTAAGATGAAATTACAAGTCTTAATAATTAAATATAAACATCTAATCTGGCAAGTGTCATTAAAACACATAAAAAATGGGAATAAAAAGTCAACTCTGATTCAAGTAACAGATTAATGTAGCAATGTTTTCCAACAAATAAATAACGAGGAAATGCTTACGAGGACTTGGGGAACAATAGAGGGTTGACGCATAGGGCGGAGGGCGTACATAATGAGCAAACATGCTAAGGAAACAAGGGTGAGCTGGGTCATGAAGAGAGGGGCGGTGTACTGTAAAGGGCTCTCATAACCCAGCCATATCCCTTTAGGGGCACTCTTATTTGGGTTTTGGCATACAATTGATGTGTTCCCGGCTTGTTTAACAGTCCCAAACGCATAATGCCGCCTGATATCCATTGTCCACTAATTACTGTTAATGATGTCCTGATCATCCTAGGGGGAAAAAAGGTTCTGAATGCAGAAGGTGAAAGCCTTTCCACAAACTGGAGTTCCTTTTTCCTTTCTCATTTGCCTCGGCCATATACATGGGAAAGAGAAAAACCAAAATCAATTACTAAATATCCTCCTGACCACTAACTTATATAAGGTTATTTTTCATCTAATGATTACATATACATATCAAATTATAATGGAAATAATAATAATAATAATAATAAAAATAATAATAATAATAATGTTATTATTGTAGTAGAGAAAAGAGGGGGACTTGTTTACCTCACATTGTGGTTAGTGATGTTTAGTCAAGTGGTTATCCATAGATGGTCGAAAGTTATCAAATGCATTAGCAGACTATTCTAAGGTATTGTTTTTGGCTCTAAATTATCAGTCCATGACCACCACAGGATGATATGAGCCTATGATTCAATGAAGGGTGTTCGTATAATTGTCAATTGAAAAAATGAAAAATGTTTGATGACCTTCGTGGAATCGTGGTCTACCTCATTAGTTTCACCATATATATATATATATAAAGAGAACTCTTCTTGTCAGGCCGGCCTGACCGGGAGAGCCGTCTGGCCGAGCCCGTTTGGGCACCGGTGGAATTTTTTGATGAAATTTTTTAAGCATGTTCCTCATCACGTCTAGTTTGTCCATACCAAATTTCAGCTCAAAATTCGATCGGGAAGACATTCAAATCATTTTTTAAATTTGACTGCGTCAAAATATACAGGCTCGGCCGTACAGCTCTCCCGGTCGGTATGAACAAACTATACTTGATGAGGAACATACTAAAAAATTTTCATAAAAAAATTCCACCGGGAAAGTGCCCAAACAGGCTCGGCCAGACGGCTCTCCCGGTCAAGCCGGCTTGACAAGAAGAGTTCTCATACACACACACAAAATTACAAATTGGGCTTAAATTTAAAAGTAGCATATCATTAATTCACCGGTTGGGGATATTCAACCGGTTGGGCTTAAATGAAACCAGGTCAATTTAAGTATACCAGAGGTAGAGAATAGGAGTGTGGTCGGTCCGGTTTGGGTTGTGATTTTGCTAAATCTGGAAATAAATTACCCTTAAGATATTGGGTTATGAAAATTAGAGACCGGAATAAAGCCCATTATATTCGATTCGAGTCGAGTTTTTGATAGACCGAGTTTGGGTTGAGTCGGTTAAAGCCCGGACGTGAAATCATCTCATTGTCCTTTTATATTTGAAAACATTTTTTCAAATAAAATTAATCAAAAATACAAACAGCAAATAATAACAAAAATATTAGTTTCCAACATGATAGTTTCCAAAAATATTATTCAAAAATCAAAAAAAGTTACTAGGTCATGCTTTCATCCACCATGATTATAATCATATATTAGAAATTATTTATAAATTATATTCGTATATTATATTGATTTTATATTAAAGCTAATTCACTCGGGTTTTTATTGTTCCAGACCGGGTTATAGATTTTAGGGCCCGTTTATGAGCCCGAATTTTCAAGTTCGGTCCATTTTTTTTCCGGGCCGGTTAAATAGAAACCCCAAACCAGGAACACCATTCGGGTCGGGCTAGGGTCAGTTTCTGGATTTCAGTTCAGTTTTTCCCACCCCTAATAGATAATGTATGTGGTATTTGTAAGGGGTAGTAATTGTGTGTTTATTATTATAGTGGATTAGTGTAATTTAGTAGTGATTTGGTATTCATAGTGACAAATTTTTGTGTGACTTACAAGATTATTGCTTGGGTGAATATTAATAGTAACTCAAGTTGTTTATGAGTAAAACATGACAATAATTACTCCTATGTTGGAAAGAAAAACATGACAGTTCTATTTTGAAAATTTCAAACTTTATACTCATATTTCGGGAATTTTCCGTATGAATAATGTAAAAGAACTATTCCTTTTATTGTAAATTATAGGTAGATACTGATTATCAACGATGAATGAATTTGTAACTTGTTAGTGGGTATTGAATTGGTACTGACTAATAATTGATCACAGCCACTGAATTTTAAAACAGAATGTATTGATATTGTAACGGATCAGGATTCTCTGCCACAAGGCAGAATGCCTTGCGGCATTCGATGGCAGTACAATGGTGAGGATGACCTCAAGATCGGTGAAGGAATGGACTCCTCGATCGAACGGTCGAGAAGGGTCGGGCACCTTGTCTTGCTTTAACGCAAGGCAAAGACTCCCAATCCTATTGTAACTATGTTAAAAGGCACGAAGATGTGAAAGGTGTGAGTACCTTGTAATATCATGAATAAATGAATTATACTCTGTGTTAATGATTGTATGATCAGCACGCCTACTAGGTGTCTAGTAACTATATGGAGAACTAAACAAACAATGAAATAAGCTTATGAAATTTGAAATAACAAAGGTGTATATGTAGTTTACACTAAGAAAAGGTGTATATGTAGTTCCTAAAGTGAATGCGAGAGAAATTCTTTGATAATTATAGTCACTATTGTCAGTGGTGGCAATGACGGTAGTGATGGTGGTGGTGGGTGAGTGAGGCAGTAGGGTGGCCCTAGGTGGGTGGGTGTGGGATGCAGGATGACATTATCTACTTTATATTATCAAAATAATACTACTTCCGTCTTATTTACGTTGGGACATGAGAGAGTGACCTGTTATTAAGATAAGTGGATTTGTGTGGTTAATATTAAATTTATAAAGTAATAATAAAGTAAGAAGGATTTAGAACCACACAAATTTTATCAAATTTGATATGGGACAATCATAGGGGGGACGGTCGAAAAGGAAAGATGAGATAATATCAGCGGGACGAAGAGAATAAATGTTATCCTAAATAAATGATAACTAATGTGATGAGTCAGTTTTATGAATAAACTCAAAAGAGTCATATTTAAGGAATAGAAAACACTAGTAGTAATGCGCTGCCCCCATTTTTAAGGATTATTTGTATCATTTCGCTAAAGAAAATTTCTAAATAGGACAATACTATATTCCATTTTTTCACATATGATCCCCCGCCCCCCTAAAAACAAGACTCTTTTTACCCTAAAACTCTAAAATGAGTTTGAGCTACTTTTATTCTTTTACTCCGTATTAGGATTAAAGAGATCATATTTTAATTAATATTATATAATAGTAAAGTAATTTGTAAAACTTAAACCTTCATTCTGCCAGAAGTTGATAAATCAAGACAAGGGTAAAAAAAGACACCTTAAATAATGTCATCTCGTACCTATAGACCTGTCCATACTTCATATTCCCATAGGGCCCCTGTGAGGTCATTTTCATTCAAAGATAAGACAATGTTTAAACAGTAAAACCTATCTCTAATGTACTCCGTATCATAGAAACTCCGTAATATTACTCCGTATAAATTGTTTTTGATAACCATATTTGACGGCTTGACGCCGTTTGCATTGCCACTTTTTTCGTAGTCAACCTGACATTTTATTGATGTTTAATTTGAAAATCAATTAAAAAATGACTGAGTATCCATTGCTACCTTTACCAATCATTAGTTTCACACCAACTAATGCTTCAAGAATTCAAGATCACCAAGGTGATTCTGACTTCGCCATAGTAATCTTGAGCTCCGTAGAACCCGTCTTTGACCTTTAAGAGATTTGTGAGTCTTTAGAACATCCCATTAGATTCCCAACATTGTCTATACACCCCTGTGCACATGAAATAACTCTCAACTTTTTACGCGAACCACCTAGTTTTCAATATGGCTCCCGTGAATCGTGTCAACTGTCATACATCATTAGGTTTCTAGCAACAAAATAACACTCACAACATTACTTGAGGCGAGATCGACAAAAGTTTGATTACCTAATTACTCAAGCTAGCCCTGAGAGCTAAAAAATTATCATTTGAGAAAAGTCTTCCATACGTGCATTATCGGTGACTAGAGTTCCCATAACACTATTAGATAATAAGGATAATGGCACGGAATTGGCACGAGTGCCTCCTTAAGCAAACCCTGCCAAATAGTTTTGGCATGGACTTGGAACGAAAAACCTCTTCGTGCCATCCACGGCCTTCCAAATGTTTGGAACACCATCTCAATTCCGTGCCAACATTTTGGCACAACATTTGCACTACAAATAAACTGACATATACAACAGTACAAAAACTGTTGGTATAGATCTATAAACAGTTGTAAAAATCTTATTGTTAGTATACGTTCCATCGGTATAGACCAACACCAACATATGTTGCTACCATGGGAATAGCTCATTAGCTTATACCAACACAATACTAACCATTAGTAATTAACATTTACCGTTAGCATAGACTTAAACTAGTTCTTTGTAATATTTTGCTATAGTTACGGTTTATATACCATTGATATTGTTCTAGCAACTATCATTTAATCACTCACATACAACCCATAGCTTTAAAACACAATTGCAATTTGAGATCAACAATAAAAACAAAATTTCAAATATTATTCAATTAATGATGCAAATCTTTTTAAAAATTCAAGTAATACTACCGACTTAACAAGTCTAACTATCCAAATATAAGATTACAAGCTGGCCTAAAATAAAATTGTGAAGTTCAATTTTTCATCCCAAAGCTTTCCTCTTTTCATGATTAATCGACCAATTCTCAATACCTGAAATTAAAACAGTTCATGTTAAGCCAAATGAATGGTAAATTGTGAAACAGATTGTTGCATAGATGAAAAATAAAGATTAATTAAACCATATAGCTATAGATATGTGTATAACTTTATTTCATATGGTTCTTGCATAAGCATATAGTAGAGTTTATAGAATATAGAGATTCTTATGAATGATAGCATCATAGTCAAAGATAACCCATTCTTGATTTTAATAATTCTGCAATCTGCATGATGCACTTTTAATTAAGATCAACAATAATCTACTTACTTAATAATAAAGTACAACCTTCTAATTGAAATTGAATTTTCAATTATTTGCTATTGAGTTCAATTAGTGAATAGTTATTAATTGCAATTAAGTCCTAAATTCATGGTAGTTACTTAATTGATTACTATTGAGTTCAAATAGTGAATTTCATTAAATTAATTGCAATTAAGTCCTAAATTCATAGCATTTATATACATTACGGCGGAGAAAAGTTCACCACGGGAATTACGGAGGAGAACC